TAATGGAGAAGCCTACCTTACATACACTGAATAAACACATTATGACATTTTCCTTTCTTCAAATGTGTTCAATATTTATTTTTCATTTGTCTTATAGCAAAATGTTCGTTCGGTGGTCGGCAGGTAGGCTGCTCCATGTTTCTTACATACAAAAAACGTAAATAATAAAAAAAATGAAGATTTTTGAAAACCAGTACAAATGTCAAAAAGGTTCGTTCGGTCGTCTACAGGTCGGCTGCTCCATGTTTCTTAAATAAAAAAAAAAAAACGAAAAATAAAAGAACTGTTGAAACAATTTGAAAAATGGACAAATGCCATAAAGGTTCGTTCAGTGTTTGTCGGGTAGGCTGCTCCATTATTGAGACATAAGTGACAAATACAAAACAAATGGAACACATTTGAAACAAAGAAAGATTGTCATAATGGAGCAGCCTACCCAACAAACACTGAACGAACCTTTTGCTATAACGAATATGAAAGACAAGGGCTGCTGGCTGGGTTAGTACTGCGTGAGCAACCATTTGTGGCACACGTGCCTCTGGCTCTCAAACACCTGTCCCACACGGTGTTGAAAGACTGCGCTCAGTCGGTGCAATTCAGACCCTATTGTTTGAAGAACATAAGGGTCATAACATTGGTGAAGCTAGGCGCAATAAGGGCTTAACACAACGGTCGGATGCCAGTGATACAGCACCTATGAGGATGATACAGCGAGCGTATCCAGTTATAGCTCTGAGCCCCACCCTTGCCATCTCGAATTTATATAGATGATACATAGATGAATCGTTTTCTGCGTTCAGTGATGATGCATCTGATACAAGTAGCATAGATGAACAGTGTTAGCAGCTTCCATGGTGGTGTTGTTCATTGATATTTTCAAGAATACCTGAATCTCTTCCTGACTGATGGACACTCTTTGAGGCTAGCTGAATCTCTTCCTGACTGATGGACACTCTTTGAGGCTAGCTGAATCTCTTCCTGACTGATGGACACTCTTTGAGGCTAGCTGAATCTCTTCCTGTGTGGGACCTTACAAAGCAATCTTTTCAAGACTACCTTACAAATTGAGCTTTTCCTATAATCGTTTCAATACTACCATATGCTTTACAAGCTTGGCTACATACCACCTACAAGTACTAAAGCCAAGGGTGCACGCGAGTGCGTTATTTGCAAGCACACAGAACGATGAAACAGGAAACGAAAATCTATCTGTAGCTGGTGCAAGGAGAGCAAAGTCGCGCTGTGTACCATGGACTACTTCATTGACTATTACGCACCTCCAAAGTACTGAGTGTGTAATACAGTGTATTATTGTGTAAATAATATGTGAAACTGTACATATTGTAATTTTAGTGAATTTTTACCACGTAATATTGTGACAATAAACATTTATTGTGGACACATTACTGACACATGTATCACAGTTTCATGGAAAATTATGAACATTCTACTGTATACATATTGTAGAGGTCACAAATATGCATCATATACGATAAAAGAAACAAATAAAACCGCATTGGAAATGCATAGAAAAAATATTTGAAAATATATTTGTGGCAACACGCGGTGCTTGAATGGCCTGCGCGACCGTGTCTGGGAGCTTCACACACGGGCGACCAGGCCCTGATGACGTCACAGCGCACCTTGTCGACTCCCTCACAGCCAAAGTAAGTGGAATTTGGTAATTATTTTTCCATAGACATGTTCAGGGACGGTAATTTATCATTTTGCAAAGAAAAATGATATTTTGGGGAACATTTGATGTCATGCACACTGGGGGAATTTCACAATAAACACAGTGCATCACACTGGTTATATGGAGGACACTCGTTTTGTATGACGTCCGTTTCACATGACGAACATGGAACGGATTAAATTCGTTATGCGAGGTACCACTGTATGTATGTATGTGTATGTATGTATGTATATATGTATATATGTATATATGTATATATATATGTGTGTGTGTATATATATATATATATATATATATATATATATATATATATATATATATATATATATATATGTCGTACCTAGTAGCCAGAACGCACTTCTCAGCCTACTATGCAAGGCCCGATTTGCCTAATAAGCCAAGTTTTCTTGAATTAATATATTTTCTCTAATTTTTTTTCTATGAAATGATAAAGCTACCCATTTCATTATGTATGAGGTCAATTTTTTTTATTGGAGTTGAAATTAACGTAGATATATGACCGAACCTAACCAACCCTACCTAACCTAACCTAACCTAGCCTATCATATAGGTTAGGTTAGGTAGCCGAAAAAGTTAGGTTAGGTTAGGTTAGGTAGGTTAGGTAGTCGAAAAACAAATAATTCATGAAAACTTGGCTTATTAGGCAAATTGGGCCTTGCATAGTAGGCTGAGAAGTGCGTTCTGGCTACTAGGTACGACATATATATATATATATATATTATATATATATATATATATATATATATATATATATATATATATATATATATATATGTCGTACCTAATAGCCAGAACGCACTTCTCAGCCTACTATTCAAGGCCAGATTTGCCTAATAAGCCAAGTTTTCATGAATTAATGTTTTTTCGTCTACCTAACCTACCTAACCTAACCTAGGTTTTTTGGCTACCTAACCTAACCTTACCTATAAATATAGGTTAGGTTAGGTTAAGTAGGGTTGGTTAGGTTCGGTCATATATCTACGTTAATTTTAACTCCAATAAAAAAAATTTACCTCATACATAGAAAAAAGGGTTGCTTTATCATTTCATAAGAAAAAAATTATATTAAATATATTAATTCAGGAAAACTTGGCTTATTAGGCAAATCGGGGCCTTGAATAGTAGGCTGAGAAGTGAGTTCTGGCTACTAGGTACGACATACATATATATATATATATATATATATATATATATATATATATATATATATATATTATATATATATATATATATATATTTAAATATATATACTATATATATATATATATATATTATATATATATATATAATATATATATATATATATTATATATATATATATATAATATATATATATATATGTCGTACCTAGTAGCCAGAACGCACTTCTCAGCCTACTATGCAAGGCCCAATTTGCCTAATAAGCCAAGTTTTCATGAATTAATTGTTTTTCGACTACCTAACCTACCTAACCTAACCTAACTTTTTCGGCTACCTAACCAAGCCTAACCTATAAAGATAGGTTAGGTTAGGTTAGGTAGGGTTGGTTAGGTTCGGTCATATATCTACGTTAATTTTACCTCCAATAAAAAAAAATTGACCGCATACATAATGAAATGGGTAGCTTTATCATTTCATAAGAAAAAATTAGAAAAAATATATTAATTCAGGAAAACTTGGCTTATTAGGCAAATCGGCCTTGAATAGTAGGCCAAAAAGTGAGTTCTGGCTACTAGGTACGACATATTATATATATATATATATATATATATATATATATATTATATATATATATATATATATATATATATCTATATATATATATATATATATATATATATATATATATATATATATATATATATATATATATATATATATATATATATATATATATATATATATAATATATATATATATATATATATATATATATATATATATAATATATATATATATATATATATATAATAGATATATATATATATATATATATATATATATATATATTATATATATATATATATATATATATATATATATATATATATATATATATATATATATATATATATATATATATATATATATATATATATATATATATATATATATATATATATATATATATATATATATATATATATTATAATATATAGGAGTTTCCTCATATGGGCCAATAGGCCTCTTGCAATTTCCCTTATTCCTATGTTCTTATGTAAACCTGGTTCATTCAAGTAATGACTTCATTGCAACTGGTGATGCACTCAGGAGGAAAAATAATGGTATTAATAATCTTGTCCCCCCCCCCCCACTGCAAGATTATTCACTATTTTTTAATTCTAGTGCAAGGGATAGACAACATCCTTGTACAATTAAAATATACTGAAAGGTAGGATAGAGATATAATATGACAATAATTTAAGGGGAAAAGAAAAGTGAGAACTGCATATGATATTTACTGCACCTTGGATAGGTTGATAAATTTTCATTCACTATGGAGCAATATTAACAGAAATAACGTTCATTCTCTACAATTTTTTTCTCTGTAAGCAAATTTTACTAAACTAAATCTTAAAACTTGTTATATGATGAATATCAATCTTCAGAACCTGACTGGACAGAGATTTGTACATCATTTTTGTCCCACACCACAGCCTGGGAACCTTACTTTTCAAAGGTGCCATTGTAACTCCTGATAAACGAAAACACACAAAGCTAAAAATGAAGACCAACGATAACATTTTGATTTAACTGCTATACATTGGGTGATGTTCCTGTGTTACATCTAACAAGGTTGTAAATATTTAGCTTTACCAGATATTAGCTTGCCAATTCCAGTGTGTAAAAGAAGACCTAAATGTATGCAACGTAAACAGGAGATATGGAGAATCAAGTTTTGGCAAATTGAGGTCTGACTATACATAAAAGTTATACAATTTGTTTTAGAAATACTATTTTAGGTTCCTGAAAATGACTGAATAATATAAACAATTTATCAGTTTCCATAATATTGAATCTCCATAAATATTGAGTAGGTCACGCCCCCATATAGCTTACTTACCTGAGGTACAGTATACTGTATGGTATGCGTGAACAGCACTAATGCATCAGCCAGATACCAGAAAACTACAATGTATTAGTCAAGACAATAATGACTAATTGTAGCATTAATCGATCTCGGTCAATATTTAAAAGGTTACCATAATTCACAGTTTCTAATGAATAATGTATTTTTACAAAAACAGATGACAATATATGAGGAAGATGAAACAACAGTACTATATTTATATTTCAAAAGTACCTGGAATGAGTGTAGCTAGAATGAGACAAGTAGTAATATTTCCATAACTTGTCACGAATCTTGTGGTCATCTTTACTGGATTTCACTTCCTCCCACCGACTCACAAACTGAAATGGCATGAAATACAATATAAAGTACATCCCTATGCTGTACTGTCTTACTCACAACAAAATAACCCTTAAATAATCTAGTCAATTATCCAGGTTGATTCAACAGTTAGTATCCATACACTGTACAAAAATAAAAATAAATCTCTACTTTTCCATGATGAATGACTGGTCAACGAGGTTATCCTGTATGTGTTAGCAGGATAATGTAGTACATAACATTAATACTAGAGGAAAGTGGTGATAATGAGAAATAATATTGATAGTTATTTTTAATACAGTATAGTGATAATTAGGCGAGTTAGACGTACAAGGTGAAGTACTGTGCTAAGGAAATTAGTTATTTCTATTATTTTAGAATAAAATATAGGTTTAGCCATATTTACTTCATTTGGAAGGGAGTTCCACATATTGGGTCTCAATACATTTTCTGTAGTTCCTCACTACCATCTCATGCCTCCCACTTCAGTACCTGATTTCCCTATATGTATGCAGAAATTTTTCAGTCAGAATGTGATTGGGCTCAAAACAAGTGCATCCCTAGCACCAATATAACCCAATAGCATCATTTAAAAAATCTCTGATGTGCTGGTGCAGAATGTCACTCTGCATTGCCATGAATCTGGCAGATATGACACCAGCCATGACCCAGTGTTAGTGTCATATCTAGAAAGTCTATGCGAGAGAAGGTAAAGTAATAATCAGGAGCAAGCACCAAGCCATTATGACTATATAGCATTTGGAAGGGATCAGGATAAGGATTTAGGATGGGATGGAGGGAAGGAACGGCCCCTTGGACGGTCGGGGATTTGAAGCAAACCTGCATGAAGTGAAACTGTCGCTCTACTGTCCAGCCCAAGTGGTTGAATACTATGCAAGAGAACTTTAGCACGAAAAAGAGAAGGCCTTTGTATAGGGAAAGGAATGCACAGCATCATTGCTAGTACATTCTTAAACGTGACAAATTAATTCGTGCCTTAATGAAATATCATCCACTAATCACACTATATTAAAACTTAATAATATAATATAATCTTAATATAATATAATATTTTAATTAATATATTAATATATATTAGTATATTATATATTATTAGTATATTATATATTAATATATAATATATATAATATATATATACTCTTAATATAAAAAGTAAAAGCAATATGCTCCCTTCCTCAACTATTAAAAAATGAAAAGAGCACTTACACAGAGTAACAGACATATCTAATTAGATGCCATAACACCTAAATTTGAAACTAGAGGCAAGGAATAAAAAAGATGAGAGCATTACATGTTAGTAAGAAAAGGTGTAAAATCAATGCTAGACATAATAAAGAATTAAATATCTATTTGTATTAGGAGAGTCAGCAGAAAGGTTATTCCTAAACAAGTACAATACAGCTATTTTGGCCACTACAAGTTGATAGTGCAGTATTTACACTTAATACTGGAATTTGACCAGCAAGTCGAGTGAAAATCAACACAGCAAGTGTTAGGTACTAAGATTAAAATTAAAAGATGAAATTGTAAAAAAAATAGAAATGGCAAGCAATAAAGTGCTCTACTTACATTCTCTAGTGATGCTATGCTTGTTTCACTGTTTTCCTCCACAGTGTCATCTTTGTTGTCTTCTTTTGTGCTTTCATTTTTTTCTTCTTTTCTCTCTGCTTTTTTGTCTTCTTTTTTGTCTTCTTTTCTGTCTTTTGTTTCTTCTCTTTTGTCTTCTTTTCTGTCCTCTTTTCTATCTGCATTTCTGTCGGATTTTTTGTCTTCTGTTTTTACATATTTTTTTCTATCACTTTCTGGCAGAGAATTAGATTTAACCGTTTCTTCTTTTTCACAATCATCTGACTCATTACCATCAGTCTTTGTACTTTCACTGTTATTATTTTTTTTTGCATCTACAAAAAAGTCCGAGATAGTCGACTGTGAAGTGTTTCTTATAATTTTACGAATTTCTGATCTAGTACTGGAAATTGGAAGTGGTTTAAAGACTGTTCCTTTGGGAAGTTTGATCTTATCAGACTTTACTTCAACAATTTCTAGATCATCACCTTGGTCATCAGTCTTATGAACTGCACCATTTGCTTTACCAGTCTTCTCCTGAAACTACAGAGCAAAGCTGTAATATGGTGTACACTAAATACAATATTAACAAAATTTGGGTGTGTTGCAGAGGATAATGTTCACATTAATCAGTTAGGTTAGGGCCTGCACTAGATGGGTGACTGAGCAACCTTACCATTGCCTAGGGGTATTTTGATAAGCCTATCAGGCTTCCTGTCCCCAACAATGGTTATATACTGTATATCAAAACACCATCTAAAAATCAACCTTTAAATGTAATGAAACTACTTTTTTGGAGTAACCATGGTGGCTCCCTGAGCTTATCTCTAGTACCACTAATCCAAAGCCCAACAAACCAGGCCACAGAGACATCCATTATCTACCAGGAACCAAAACTAAAATATGCCTCGCGATGAAGGCAAGGGGAGTAGGGGGGATAAGAGCTCGACCACAAAACTAGTAAATACAAACCAAAAAGCATAGGCACAACAAAACCAGCTACTGTGTGAAGTAAATTAGGTACTCCTAAATAAACAAAGTCAAAGATCGTCACCATGGGACAGATACCCCCGAGATGTGCCTGACCTCTACTAGAAGGCAGTACAAGTCACCTGAGATTTCGGCCAGCAACCTCCCTTACTCTAGAGCCAGTCATGCAAAATGCTAGACCCCCCATGAGGAAGGAAACCGGATAGAAACCCCCTATTAAGAAACCAGTGTTGAATGTAATAAAATGCCATTTCCTTGTGAGCCCCGGAGGCTCCCTGGAGCTATCAGACTGATATGGGATATATTAGTCAATTGGAGTTCAGCTTACTGGGGACCACGAGCCAGAACCTGACTCCCTCAGAGAGGCAAAAGGAGCAATGGCCTATGGAAACACCCGAGTACTTGGTTGGCATTCCATGTCTGCTATCAACTGGGGTTAGCACCCAGAAAGGTAGGCATAACAAAAACAGACCCCCACATGGTAAGAAAAATTGCAACCGAAGACCGAACAGAGAGGCAGCACTCCAACCTATAGAACAAGCAAACAAGCAAACGTCATGCACTGCCACCGCCGCCATTGGGCCCGCACCATGCTGTGGGCCCAACGGAAGGACGGACCTCACCGTCCCTGGCTGGCCTGGCGAGCACTGGTCACAAAGCCCCAGCCAAGAGACGAAGCATCTATGAACACATCGAGCGAGGGCTCTGGTAGGGCGAACACCACCAACCTGGGAAGGACTTGTAAGCGTGGACGGAACCAAAGTCGAAACGACTAAAGCCCCTATGTCCAGAACCCTATAACCAAAACAGGACAGCTTTGGAGTATCAGGGTGAGCAACCAACCTAGTGCGTTGCAACAGCCTAAAACTACATGCAATATCGATGCCGCATGTACACGAACCTCAGTGTCAAGATAAGGGGTAAGTTGGAGTATGAGCAGAGAACACGAATCGCAAGACTCTAGGTCAAAGGTGACGTTGACCCAGCAGGCAGCATGATGGAAGCAAAACAGGTGACCGTCACCCTGAGAGCAACCAGAGCAACCTTCAAACTCGCACAAGGCGAGGTGGAGCTCAGAAGACGCACCCATCGGTCAAATGAGCCCCAATGGGGTTTTCCAAGGCCTGCAGGCTGACTGCTACAGGAAGCCCAGGCAATGTACTGCAAAACTGGTTAGGACCAAACTAACACGGGAAAACTGCTTAAAACTGAACCCCTGTGACATGGGGGCCTAGAGGAGGGCCACCATAATACCATATGTAGACCAATAGCCAAACAAGGCACACCCCCCTCCAGGCCAAGGAAAAAGAAAATAAAAAGCCCACAATAGTACATCATCCCCAGAAGGAACAAGAACCGGCCACTGCGTAGGTAGGCAAGCTGCTCAGTATCTTTGTTACGAACCAAAATTCCACACCCGAGCACAAAGCCATGAAGTCCACTCCATCTGTGAGTCCGCTCCCAAAAACCCCACAACATGGACAACGCCATCTAGTGGTGACAGGATATGTCGGCAATAAGTGCTGGATGCCTGTCCTAGTCAGCTCGTGACATAGCCGCTGCTGACCTCTGGTGAGGTGGCGCTTAGACAGTGAACGCCATCTATGGAGCAAATAGGTGAAAGTTTCTGTCTAAGCTAGTAAGTGAAGTTTCCTAGTGGCCTCAGGTAGTGTCCCCCAGTACTGATGACGTGTCTACTTTCAGAGTCAACCTAGGACGGTTGGGAGGTACGTTGAATCAGTCTACCCAAGGCAGCCAAGGTCTCTTCACCAGTCTGCTTTGTAGAAGCTGTGAGCCACCCCCGGAGGAACTCTGCTGAGTGTGTGATTGCCTGCCTGAGGAGTGGCAGTAACGGGATTCGCCGTATCCGGGGCTGGCTGGTGGAAGAGACCACCCACTGACGTGACGACCGAGGAGGGTGTCCAGCGAGTCACACAAGGCTCCTGCCTAGGGCTCACAACCCTAGTATTAATCGTGGAGTGGCCTGACAGCGAAGCCGGCTAGTACCTGCCAGCTACAGGCTGGACTGTGGTTGTAGGCCATCGCGACGAGGCACCCAGTGGGATTGTGATTTGGCTGGCCTGTGGCCAGGGTGGATTCATCGTGGGTTCTGGGCCACGGAGGAGGAGGAGACCAGGAAAGGCTACCCAGAGTGAGCGTTGCCGAGTGTCTACTGTCTTCGGAGGAAGATGAAGCTGTATATAATTGTGTAGTAATAATTCCCGTGTGTGACGTTTTACATATGGTGGTGGGAACATATATATATATATATATATATATAAAGGAATATACATATAAGTTAGAATACTTATGTATGTGTACCTCCCCATTGTTTTAACTTGCGTTACGGAACACACCTCTTGAAAGCCTCTACTAACTTGGGGCCGGATACCCAAACAACTATTACCATCAGAAAAGAACCCGGTTGCATCCCAGTAGGGCCGTAACAATCTTGCACCCCTACCAGCAACAATACCCCTTCCTACCCAAGCACTTCCTGCCAAACAAAGGCCACGAAAACCTAAGCTGGCCCAAAGGGCAGGGTAATTGCCAAGCAGCAAAGACCCCTATAAAAGCGGTTCCCGAAAGTTCTATGGAAGATAATCCTAGAACCCAAGGGGAGTACTTACAGGACGATTTGGGAAGGGAGCCCTAAGCGCATGCAGCCCCAGTACTCTCAAATTTCTCCTGGCCTCAACACCACACACTGCAGAACACACCACTAAGGTACACAACTGTCAAGAATTTGAGGCAATATTGCATCAGCCAACAAACTGAAGGTGTTGAGTAGCCTATGTGGGGGGGGAGGGAAGAAAGTGTCCAGGGTTCCCCCTTCCTCTCCCGGGGAGGGGAGGGCTGTGCAGACAACTGGCATGGTGGCAGTGTGTGATGTTTACTTGTTCTTTAAGTTGGGGAAGTTTTGCCTCTGTTCAGTCTACGGTTGCAATTTTTCTTACCATGTGGGGTCTGTTTTGTTATGCCTACCTTTCTGGGTGCTAATCCCGGTCGATGGCAGACATGGAATGCCCTCAAATACAAAGTTTCCATAGGCCATTGCTCCCTTTGCCTCTCTAAAGGGGGCCAGGTTCTGGCTCGTGGTCCCGGGTAGGCTGAACTCCAATTGATTGATGACCCAGACTAATATATAGCATATCAGTCCAACAACTCCAGGGAGCTGGAGGGGCTCCCCACAAAAAATGAAGATTTATAACATTCAATGTGTAATTTCCAAGAAGGACTCCTAAGCTGCTTTCTGAGTTCACTGTCAATAGTGCCTCGATTACAAAAAAAAAAAAAAAAAAAATACTGTATTAAAAAAAGGCCAATATTAAAAAAAAAAAGTTACACTAGAAGAATATCACCTGCTCTACTAACCTTATCTTTCTTCGAAGCAGTTAACTGGTAGTTCCAACCAATAGGCTTTCTAGGAGGCTCCTGAAAGGAAACAATACTAATAAGAAAGGTTTAACATTACTGGGATAGTTAATGCTTAACTACCTCACTTCTGAGCCTCCTTATCTTGCGATTACTTTGGGGTGATTCTAGGGGTCAAGGTCCCAGCGGTCTGGTCACTAACCAGGCGTCCTGGTTGATGGACTGCTCAACCACCAGGCTGTTGGACATGGCAGCTCACAGCCTGACGTATGAATCACAGCCTGGTTGATCAGGTATCCTTTGGAGGTGTTTATAGAATACCGAGGGGTTGTCCAGTTATGCCCCTTATGTGTAGTGGAAGCGTGTTGAACAGTGTTGATAGAGTTCGCTGTCAGAGTACACCTATTGCCTCCAGTAGTGAACTTAAAAAATCCCTACAGGAGAGTTAGGGAATGACAGTAAGCTACTGAGAGCCTACCAGAAAAGGGCTTTTCCTTATATTCAACAACTTACCTCTGGGAAGGCCCCCCCCCCCCCTCCTCAATAGTTCACCGGGGCTTACTCCCGATGATGCTTCGGTACAAGAGCTTTGCTAAAAAGGATAATAGGTGTAAAAATAAACAAAGCCAGAGAATGGCTTACATATGAAAAAGAATGACAGTAACAACACTTCATTACAGTATATGCCTAATGGTCTTGGTAATACTGTACCATTATTCATTCTTGACTCACAATTGGGAATCCTGGGTTTGGATCCCGGGCAGGACAGAAATGTTTTGGCAAGCTCCCTTTTACCTAATGCTGCTGTTCATCTAACAGTACTATAAGTAAGTACCTGGGAGATAGTCAACTGTTGTGGAGAAGCATCCTGGAGAGGAGTGTCAGTAGTTTGACCTTGGGGAACCTCAATACCAGCCTAATGTATATACACACACACAGGCTGCCTGTCCCACGACAAAATGAATTACTGTATTATATATGTGGATAGCCAATGGAATACCCAAAAAGAAATGAGAAATTAACACCTATACTGTAGTTATACTAGTTAGTTTAATGTTTTCCCATGACAGTTACCTAGCCAATCACCAGGCTGGCCAGCAAAAAAAAAAAAAAAAAAAATCATCATCAAGCCTGGACAGCACCCATAGATAAGGAAACAAAGAATGCAACCAAAGCAGTGAATTGCACACCACAAAAAAAAAAATACAGATAAAAGGCTACATGGAACACACCATAGGAAGACCTGGGAAAGTTGCACAATGGACCTAGGGTTAAGTAAGTATCAAAAGAAGGCACCAAGCCAGGGAGACTATGTAGCACCATCAAAGGTGCAGAATACTCAAAAGGCACTAGATATCACTAAGGATGCGAATATGAGAACAAAAGCACATACGGCAAACGATATCAAAGGTATCCGATTCACCAAGGATTCTATCAAGGGACAAATGAACGTGAGAGACGGCACGTCCTGGAAGTCAGGACATTCAACAAGGATATGCATGACCGTAAGATTGACAGTGCAGTTCTGATAATAAGGAGCAGCTTGGCACTCCATTCAGTGCCTGTGAATTAGACGTGTATGGCCAATAAGTAACCTCGCCAGAGCCGTATCCTATCGCTGGTTACAGAAGAAGGCCAAGGGGACACACTATCCTTAAGAAAATGCAGTTTGTTACCAGTAACAGAAAACCAATGATCTTGCCAACGGGTACAGACTGAGGAATGAATGATTGGGTAGAAGTTGGAATAAGGAACGCCTTTGCAGGAAATAGGATAAGTGCGGATAGCTTCTTTGGTGGCAGCGTCCTCACACTCATTTGAGGAAACGCCAATATGACTGGGAACCCAGCCAAACTCTACTGTCTTACAGGACCTAGGCTCAATAGGCAGAATGTGAAATGGCAGAGCAAACACCCAAGCAGCACAAGGAGCAGACAAATCTACCATATGATCGCCACCCATTGGCAACCATATGGTGGAGCAGCAAACACTGAAAAAACTAAGAAAAAAAGCTGAGGGCTATAGACCCACCAAAATACACACAAAAACCATATTAAGCCATAAATCCCAGCCAACAGAAGGAAGCTAGCACCCAAGCCAAACAACCATCATGATGGAATGCTAAAGAGCAGCATGGGAAACACCCTGAAATCCTGACCAAAAATGAGGTTTCAAAATGATCTTCAAGAGGAACTGCGACAAAACTTCCACCACAAGAAATGAGGGAGGAGGTAGTGAAAGCACAAACAACCCACCAACTTAACAAAACAAGACAATGGCAAACGACTGGGGAATGCACAGGAAGGCCAAGGACATCCAAGAAGGAATGAAACCAAGAAGGAATGAAACAACCAAGAAGGAAGAAACCTTTTAGACACATGGTCGAGGATACAGCAGAGCAAAATGTTTACATCAAGGAATACAGGTATTCATGAAGAACAGTACCTACAACACTAAATCTTGATGTACTTTTGACAGAAGCTTACATTTTATTTAGGGTACTACTGGAAATAAAATTGAGTAATATAAGTTTACCTAGTCTGTACTGTAGTCTGTGCAACAGTACTAAAAAAAAATGCAAGTAGCTACAATAATTAAGTGTATAAGGCAACAATAATTAATTGTATTAGGCAACAATCAATAATCATATAAGGCAAAAGGCAAAAATTACTAGTCATAGGAGTAGCAACAATTAATGTTTGTAGGAGACAACACCCAATGATTGGTTATTGTAGGCAGTAACAATAAGCAGACCTCCCTCGACACTCCAGGTATGATCCATGTACGCAACAACTCATTGATACAAACAACATAAACATGCATTCCTTGACAGGATGTAACCTGGAAACATTGTAAATAATAAATACTGAATGTAGGTCAAATAATAACACCTAAACATTGTAGTAAGCAGAAATATATGTGTCTGTGCTGCCTCTAGACCCCCCCTAGAGACTCCAGACTGAGACCTAAACTAGGGCTGGCAGCCCCAAGCCAACCCTAGATGCGTGACAGATAAGGACCCACTCCACAGGGGTGACCAGCCTTAAGGTGCAACTACACGCCATGGCCTGTGTGTTGTCCCTGCCTTGGCCCCCCAGGGTGGTGTGGGGGGCCCCAGGCCCACCACATCCCAGGTCAGCACCCACCTGGAAGTCGTCGTCAGAGGAGCCGGAGTCGAGCTCTATCACCTCGCTTGCCGCCATTGTTGTATTTGTAAACACGGAGTAGGATGAACCCGGGCGAGCGGCGGCGGGTAGAGCGCTCCTCCCGTAGCATAACTGTGACCTCCTGGGGGCTCGGCTGTTGAGCACTGCTGGCATGTTGAGCATCACACGTGGCTTCTTGAGCACTGGTAGCATGCTGAGCACCGCTGGCTTGTGGCACACTGGTCACTTGTAGCACACTGGTCGCTTGTAGCACACTATAGTGGCTTCTTGAGCACCGGTGGCATTTACCTGAGGGTAAACACCATCTATGTAGTGGCCACGACGGGAACAAGACGCGAGCAGCTCGTGCTCAATGAATACAAGTCACATCGTACACAAAATGATTCTCAAACAGATTTAGTAGCCTACCTAACCTAACCTAGCTCAACACAAACCAACATAACCTAACACAACCGAACGCTATACAGCCTAAGCTAAGCTAATATAGCCTAGCATAATATATACAGTTTTAACAAACAGAAAACGAGTTAGTTTGAATGGGCTCGTGTCCGAAATGACCCTCAACAATGGCAAAGTGATTACATGCACCCACCAAACCTTGTTTATAAATGAAAACGCTTTACACTCATCAACATATCAGGCCAGGCTCGTTAAAGCGGCGACCGTCAATCAGACGCATTCATCAATTTTAACATACTGTGCATGAAAAATTGGGTTATTCTCATATATATGTTACCATTATTATATTAAAAAAAAATATATATATATATATATATATATATATATATATATATATATATATATATATATATATATATATATATGTCGTACCTAGTAGCCAGAACGCACTTCTATGCCTACTATGCAAGGCGCAATTTGTCTAATAAGCCAAGTTTTCCTGAATTAATATATTTTCTCAAATTTTTTTCTTATGCAATGATAAAGCTACCCATTTTATTACGTATGAGGTAAAAAAAAATTTATTGGAGTTAAAATTAACTTAGATATATGACCGAACCTAACCATTCCTACCTAACCTAACCTAACCTATCTTTATAGGTTAGGTTAGGTTAGGTAGCCGAAAAAGTTAGGTTAGGTCAGGTTAGGTAGGTTAGGTAGTCGAAAAATAATTAATTCATGAAAACATGGCTTATTAGGCAAATCGGGCCTTGCATTGTAGGCAGAGAAGTGCGTTCTGGCTACTAGGTACGACATATATATATATATATATATATGCGAACAAGCCTGAATGGTCCCCAGGACAATATGCAACTGAAAACTCACACCCCAGAAGTGACTCGAACCCATACTCCCAGAAGCAAACGCAACTGGTATGTACAAGACGCCTTAATCCACTTGACCATCACGACCGGACATAATGAGGTGATAGCCGAGGCTAATTTGAACCACCCCACCGCCGGCACTCGGATAGTAATCTTGGGCATAGCATTTTACCAAATCACCTCATTCTTTGGGGCACACGTGAGGAACACAAATGCGAACAAGCCTGAATGGTCCCCAGGACAATATGCAACTGAAAACTCACACCCCAGAAGTGACTCGAACCCATACTCCCAGAAGCAAACGCAACTGGTATGTACAAGACGCCTTAATCCACTTGACCATCACGACCGGACATAATGAGGTGATAGCCGAGGCTATTTGAACCACCCCACCGCCGGCACTCGGATAGTAATCTTGGGCATAGCATTTTACCAAATCACCTCATTCTTTGGGGCACACGTGAGGAACACAAATGCGAACAAGCCTGAATGGTCCCCAGGACAATATGCAACTGAAAACTCACACCCCAGAAGTGACTCGAACCCATACTCCCAGAAGCAAACGCAACTGGTATGTACAAGACGCCTTAATCCACTTGACCATCACGACCGGACATAATGAGGTGATAGCCGAGGCTATTTGAACCACCCCACCGCCGGCACTCGGATAGTAATCTTGGGCATAAGATTATGCCCAAGATTATGCCCAAGATTACTATCCGAGTGCCGGCGGTGGGGTGGTTCAAATAGCCTCGGCTATCACCTCATTATGTCCGGTCGTGATGGTCAAGTGGATTAAGGCGTCTTGTACATACCAGTTGCGTTTGCTTCTGGGAGTATGGGTTTGAGTCACTTCTGGGGTGTGAGTTTTCAGTTGCATATTGTCCTGGGGACCATTCAGGCTTGTTCGCATTTGTGTTCCTCACGTGTGCCCCAAAGAATGAGGTGATTTGGTAAAATGCTATGCCCAAGATTACTATCCGAGTGCCGGCGGTGGGGTGGTTCAAATAGCCTCGGCTATCACCTCATTATGTCCGGTCGTGATGGTCAAGTGGATTAAGGCGTCTTGTACATACCAGTTGCGTTTGCTTCTGGGAGTATGGGTTCGAGTCACTTCTGGGGTGTGAGTTTTCAGTTGCATATTGTCCTGGGGACCATTCAGGCTTGTTCGCATTTGTGTTCCTCACGTGTGCCCCAAAGAATGAGGTGATTTGGTAAAATGCTATGCCCAAGATTACTATCCGAGTGCCGGCGGTGGGGTGGTTCAAATAGCCTCGGCTATCACCTCATTATGTCCGGTCGTGATGGTCAAGTGGATTAAGGCGTCTTGTACATACCAGTTGCGTTTGCTTCTGGGAGTATGGGTTCGAGTCACTTCTGGGGTGTGAGTTTTCAGTTATATATATATATATATATGCAATTGACGATCACTAAACACTGATCATTTGTATTGGATTGTTCGTTTGGGAAAGCTAAACGTACGTTTTATAATAATGTCTCTAAAGCGAAACCAGAAAATAGAAACTCATTGGTGGTACCTTATGCGATGGGATTTGAGAAACTTTCCCCAGTTTTTAAGAACCTTAATATCAATTTGGTGTTCAGTAATAATACGATCAAGTCTAATTTAATAAAAAACTCCCCCTGGTACAACAGGTTGTGTGTATTCGATTCCCTGCAATGATTGTGAGTCTGTGTACCTTGGACAAACAGGAAAATCCTTACAATTACGTATGTCCTAACATGCTTATAGTATAAGAACTGCCCAAACGTCTAATGCTTTGTATCTACATACAAGTTTGTGTGATCACACTATTAATTGGGATGGGACGAAAAGCATTGCCAATTGCAATGGCTTTGTGGAACGGAATTTAATTGAGTCTGCGCTAATTAGTCAATGTTCAAATCTTCTCAATGTTAGTACTGGTATGTACAAACTTGACCCAGTTTTAAGTTACAATATTACACAACAGTTTAAGAAAAAACTCTGAAAGGGAGGCTTACAATGTCTCATTACAATTTTATATTCATTTATTGTGTGTTCATGAGGCTTTTCTTTAACCTTTCATCCGTATTCTCTGACCGCTTAATCCTCTTTGACCTTTCCTGTTTCTGGTAATCCTTTCCCTAGAGATGGGTTGGTCAGGTTCCAGGTGTTGGCCTACATCCTCTCTCTCTTTCTCTAGTCAGTCTGGTGTTGACAAAGGCTTTAACAGGCCGAAACGTTCACCTCTCTTTCCCATTTCCTTGTGGTTTTTCCGCATAAATATATATATATATATATATATATATATATATATATATATATATATATATATATATATATATATATGTCGTACCTAGTAGCCAGAACGCACTTCTCAGCCTAATATGCAAGGCCTGATTTGCCTAATAAGCCAAGTTTTCATGAATTAATGTGTTTTCGACTACCTAACCTACCTAACCTAACCTAACCTAACTTTTTTGGCTACCTAACCTAACCTAACCTATAAAGATAGGTTAGGTTAGGTTAGGTAGGGTTGGTTAGGTTCGGTCATATATCTACGTTAATTTTAACTCCAATAAAAAAAAATTGACCTCATACATAATGAAATGAGTAGCTTTATCATTTCATAAGAAAACAATTAGAGAAACTATATTAATTCAGGAAAACTTGGCTTATTAGGCAAATCGGGGAATGCATAGTAAGCTGAGAAGTGCGTTCTGGCTACTAGGTACGACATATATATATATATATATATATATATATATATATATATATATATATATATATATATATATATATATATGTCGTACCTAGTAGCCAGAACGCACTTCTCAGCCTACTATGCAAGGCCCGATTTGCCTAATAAGCCACGTTTTCCTGAATTAATATATTTTCTCTAATTTTTTTCTCATGAAATGATAAAGCTACCCATTTCATTATGTATGAGGTCAATTTTTTTTAATGGAGGTAAAATTAATGTAGATATATGACCGAACCTAACCTAACCTATCTTTATAGGTTAGGTTAGGTTAGGTAGCCGAAAAAGTTAGGTTAGGTTAGGTTAGGTAGGTTAGGTAGTCGAAAAATCGAACATCCACGGTCCAGCAGGTGAGATGAGCGTTATACTAACTGAACTATTAGCTGATATTGTTTAAATGTAAGACACATTTCTTGAACAATTTCTGAGATTTTTTTCTAAATTCTTGAATCTTTTCACACTCAATTACATACTGCATAGTTCTCCCAGAGGTACTTGTAGCCTAGTAGTTGTAACGTATAGACTCTGTAGAAGTTTGCTGACCTTGTTGGAGGATCCATAGATGTGGCTCTTCCTACATCGTAGTATTAGAGATAAAATAAAGAAGGTGAATTTCATTTTTCCTCAGGTCCATTACATTTTGTTTGAGTCCTCGATATATTACTGCTCTCATGCTGCTCAGATTATAAAAGGCAATCCAAGGTGATAATCAACTCATGTTTTAAGAGCATTTGCTTTGCATGGCTAACGTATCATCAGCTGTATCATGTATTCGGAGGGCAATGTGGGATGGGATCTATAGGAGACAGACTGATTCCATAACTGATACTTTTATTATATCTGTACCTTACTGCAGACACATGCATGTTACAATTATGTTTTAAAATGAGTGAATTCAGGGATGACAATCACTTACAACTATAATGTGTTAACTTTGGATACGAGTGCATGGAACATGGCAAACAATTATATCTGAGGGCGGAGGCCCATTTATATATACGAATTCCCCATTCAAAATAAGAAGCGTCTTTTATCACAACTGCACTTTCGTTACTCCTTGTTCGTGTTACATCTGATCTTTCACAGACGTGGTCCGGATCAATAACCTCCAAATTGTTCAGTATTTTAAAAGTTTCCATGAGGTCAGCCCTCTCATATCTGGTTTGCAGTGTTGTGAGCTCTGTGGCCCACAGCTGTTCCTGGTATGAGAGTTGACTTAGTTCAGGAGTGATTTTTAGTCGCCCGGAGTTCAACTTTCTCCAAAGCAGATGTCTCTTTGAAAATTACGTTTCCATGTTTGGATA